CTAAACAGACAGGCAACACAAAAATGCATAGATATAGTAACAAGAACAGTATGAAATACATTTTATGACCAAGTATGGAGAGTCCGTTGTGAAAAAGTACAAGAATGGAGAAGAAGGTTAATATAACAAGCAAAATGAAAAAAGGTGCTCGAACTAGGAAAAGATCAAAGAAAAAAGCAAAGAAGAATAAGATGGCAGAAGAAGAAGAAAAAGAGAGAAGATTGGAAAGAGTAAATCGAATGAAGAAAGAAGCTTGGAAGACAATTGATATGCTTGTCACAGAGGGAGGAAGACCCTTCTGATATGGCTTTAAGTAGTTAGACGAGCAGTTTATCTCTAACTAAGATAGTGTGGCAGGTTGCACTTAGGTACCAATAGGGTGGCTGAGTGATGCTAGACTTAAGTATTGAGAAATTCTATATAATTATAATTGTAAATAGTTTTAAGAATCTTAATAAAGTACTAGTATAACTGCTTAAGGTTAAAAAAAAAAAAAAAAAAAAACTAAAAGTATAACCTTTTTTTTTTAGAAATAGATAAAGCAGTTTCTAAGCTATGTTGAAAAGGTTTAACTTGTAAAAAATATTAATATATAAGAATAGAGTTAGTAACAAGTATTTAAAACTTTATATATATATATATACAATACAAAAATTACTATAATACTACAAGGCTTTAACAAGTCTTATTATAACATGCTCTAGTATGATAAGCTATAAGTTCTTAAATATTATATTAGTTCAGCATAAGAGGAGTGATAGACATTTTAAAAAAATATATGCAGATCCTTATTAAAGAATTATTTTATATGTTTGGCAAATTACAAGAAAGTTAACCTATAGACATAATTATAAGGCTTGTGGTATACATGTTGTGAAAAGTATTTTGGCATAGTTCTATCTGTATTTCAGCATTCAGCATTTAGTATTTTTTAAAGCCAAAATTAATACAAAAGTCTAAGTTGGTTATTAAACATGATATCAATATTATATATTTATGCAAAATTAATAAATATAGATTTATCAATCCAATTAGATACATTGTAAAAGTATTGGCTAGCATTAATAGAACTAACTGAGATAATCTAACATTATACTCTAACTAATATTGAACAAATAAGACTAAAAACTTCAAATTGATAGGCAATAATCAAAATATAAAAAGACTTGGTTCAAGTTTTGAGATTTTTGGGTCTTGAGATTGTTACTAAAACTTGGATAAGTTTTTCTTTTACTTTATTATATATTTTTTGTACTTAATAGGTTGCCTTGTACTAATGTCTTTGCTATATTTTCTCTGAAATTTAGGTATACTGCTTATTTTTAGATTATATAATTACATGATTATGATATATTTCGAATTACATATATATTATACTAACAATGAATTTAATCACAAATGTAATCACTAGTAAATTCTATATAAAAGAAGTCTCGATTATTAATACGATCTTTTTCTCTTACTTTATACTATTATCGATAATGGGTCAAAAAGGTTACAAAATAAAAAATATGATTATTACAAATGATATTTTAATAACAAGAGTTTTAAATACTACTTTAACACTTCTACTATATTGATTTCGAAGTTTAGATACCAAAAGTCTTTTTAAACTACAAGTGTTAAGTTTTATTGCAGAAAATTCTTCTTTTTATATATTTAATTTTTATATATACAAGAATAATGTAAATTCTAATTTTTTTAGTTATTTATATCTTTCTAGCTATTCTAACCTTTTTAGCTTTTTTTATTTTCTTTACTTTTTTTTTAATTACCTGAATTTTAGAAATACTAGAAATTTCAAGAATTTGTACTACACTAGCTACTGTAATCTATTAGCATTGATCTTGCCTTTTACAATGTACAGTATTTGAATACATCTTTTTACTTGTCATATAACTATATACACTATTTCTAATATAACAAAGCTATGATTTTGGAAACTAAAATTTCAAGGCTTTGCAGATAAAACTGTAGTTTTAAAGATCTAAATTTTTAATTATTTTAAGCTTTGAACTTTTGTAATTCTTAAGTGTTTAAATAAAAAAATTTTTATTAGTTAGTAAATAACTGTTTTACTTAAATATATTCAATTGATTTATTACTTTCAAATTATCATTATTGATATACTTTTATATTGCTAATTAAGATCTCTTATTAATTAAATTGATTCATTAAATTAAATTAATTATATAAGCATGACCTGATTAAATTATCATAACATATGTGTATAAGCTATCCTTTAATTACTATATAGCATGAACTAAAATACCCAGAGTACTTTACAATTTAAGCAGTATATATGGGTATTACAGTATTATAGTCAGAGAGATACTTTAGTTAGTGTAAAGGATATAAGTTACATTTTGAGTGCTACAATAATCATTTTTAGTACCAAGGTACAAATGCATACTGTTTTAGATACCTTAGCATTAGAGGATCATAAAATCTAGGTATATAGTAATTTATTTGCATTATATGATTTTTATTTTACAAATTTATTAATAAGCAATTTAAAAACTACCTAATATCTATATAGGTAAATAAAATAATAATAATTATGAAAGCAATAATAATAATAGTAAGATAAAATAATATTTATGCTATATTTATAATACTACAGTATTGCAAACAAATAATTCTTAAACTTAGCATAATTATTGCCCAAAATTAATAATGCAAATGACTGCTACTTTTATTATACACCTCTCTAATACAGTCGACCATACTTTCAACAAGACATCTAAAATAACTTTGAGATAATGATTCCTATTCTTCTTTAACTATTACTTCAAGCTTATTAAGATTACTAGGTCTTGAATGATGTTTTTGAAAATTTTCTTCAATCTCAGACCAAAAATTTTCAATAGGATTAAGGTTCAAGCTATATAGAGGCCATTTTAACATTTTAATATGCTTATTGGCTAAATATTTTTTAACAATCATGTTTCTGTGAATTGAGACACTATCATGTTGAAATACTATGTTATCATTGGAGTATTGGTCCTGAAGCTTGGGAATAGTGTAATGACTAAGTGTTCTATGATAGGATACACTTGTAATACTGCTATTAAGATAAACAAGAGAACTAAGATTCTATCAAAAAAACCATCTCTACATCATAATCTCCTTAGATTTAATTGCCAGAACAAGGCAATTATTATTAAATTCTTTATCTGGCCTTCTTTATATATACTAATGAGGATTATATAAGACTAAACTAAAATATTTTTTATCTGATTAAAGAACATTTTTTCAGTCTTCAGTCATCTAATTAAGATGCATCTCTGCCTAATCTTGATGCTCTTTTTTAGATTTATTATTAATAAAGAGTTTTGTACAGGCAACACATATGAACAGGTTAACTTTGTAGAGAGTACAACTAATAGTTCTTTGAGAAATTATCTATAATATATAAAATAAATTAAACTTAAAATAAAATAAATAAAAAAATAAAATAAAAATAAAAATAAAAAATTAAAACAAAAAAAATAACAAAATAAATAAAAAAAAATAAATTAAAATTATTATTACTTGGCCTTCCTTCTGTTCTAATGCATCTTGAATTTTCTTTTTAGTCATATAGTGATTATTCAAAATGAGTTGTATTAGACAATTATATGCTAGTTCATTTAATAGTGGTAGTCTTTCTCAATGATCTGACAAAGTTTAAGGTAGGTTGTAATATTGTTTTAACACATTTCCTATAGTCTTTAAATTACAACCAACAAGATTAGCAATTTGTCTATATGATTTGTCTAATTTTTGAGCAGATATAATTTCTTCATATTTTTGATCTGAAAGTGTTATAATTTGCAACTTGTTAAATATAAAAATGCTTTAACAAAATATATTTATATTTACAAGTTTCTTAACTTGATCAAAAAAAATAGCTATCAAATAGAAATATGAGTGCAATGCTGTAATTTGTCAAAATTATAATGAATTACAGTATTTTTTACTGTAATTCATTATAATTATGACAAATTACAGCATTGCATTCATATTTCTACTAGCAAATAGTTATAAATTACTAATTTTATACAGCATATATAAGTTTCTGTAAATTAAATTTTCATATAATCATATAGTAAATTTGAATATATATAAATTTTATGTAACCTTTTGCTATTTAAAAGCCAGATAGTGAATAATGATAAGTATCATTAAATTAATTGTCTTGTTTGGAAGTAATGATAGTTATTAATAAAACTCTATTAAATATCCAAAATAGGGCTTATATGTAATTAGATAAGCTGCGATTGCAAAAGTAAGCATAGCCAGTCTTAGCTTATATATCGATCCACTAATATACATTGCTGTTGCACATTATTAATAATTAAATTAATTTCTAAAATGAGAGCTACATGAATAGCCTAGTTGATAAGCATTAGTTAAAAAAAATAAAAAAGTCACATCAACATCAAAATTAAAGAAAAAAAGAACTATACAATCATTATATCTGTTATAAAAACAAAATTACTGAGAACTAAAGTAAAGATTAAGAAAATTAGTTGTTATATACATGCTGTAGAAACTCACTATAGCTTTGCCAAAATATTTCAACATTGATTTTTTAGTAATTCATGCTATAACACAAAACCAAAACCTAAACCTATAATCAATACTATAACCTAAGTTAAAAGCTAAATTAAATATATAGAAATTATATATAATATTAATTGCAGCTTGCCAAAATATTTTATTATTAATTTTTAGTAGAAATATTAAGCTGCAACTGTTACAACTTAAAGCCAAAACTAAAACTTATATAAATATCATAATTTAAATTAAAAGCTGTAATTTAAATATTATAAATTCTGTAATTGTTAGCTAGTACTTTTAACAAATCGAAACCTATTTTATAGCAACTATATTTATTTATATAATTATAAATAAATTGAATAAATGCTCAAATATCAAAACTATCTACCAAAGTATTAACATCAAATTCTATATTGCCATAGTTCTCTTTAATATTGTCTTCAACAACTTCAGAACTAACAACACTATTAAGTACTAGAGGTTGCATTACAAAATTAGGTGAATCTAAGTCTATTGTATTACCAAATATTAACAATTCACTCTCAATTAGAATATAATAGATATAGTTTAGACATTCAGTACTTTTTGGCACTTGCAGCATTAATTTTGGCTTAAGGCATTGCTTATTAGTTTTGGCATTAATTTTGGCTTTAAAAAATGCCAAATGCTGAATGCTAAAATATAGATAAAATTATGCCAAAATACTTTCTACAATATGTATACTACAAGCTTTATGGTCATGCCTATAGGTTAACTTTTTTGTAATTTACTAATTATATAAAATAATTTTTTAATAAGGATCCATATATATTTTTTTTAAAATGCCTATCACTTCTTCTATGTTGAACTAATATAATATTTAAGAACCTATAGCTTATTATACTAGAGTTTGTTATGATAAGACTTGTTAAAGTTCTGTAATATTATAGTAATCTTTGTACTATATATATACATATATAAAGTTTTAAATGTTTGTTACTAACTCTATTCTTATATATTAATGTTTTTTACAGATTAAACTTCTTTAATATAACTTAGAAACTGCTTTATCTATTTCTAAAAAAAAAGTTTATACTTTTAGTTTTTTTCAATAACCTAGCTATATTTAGTGTTTTAGTAATTACATATAGTTCTATAATTACAATATATTTCTTCTAAGTAAAATACCTTTAGATATAGAATTATTTGAATTATTTTGCATAGTAACTATTGGCACTGCTTTAAAAATAGAGACAGGTTAATTTTTAAAAAGTACTTTAACTGTATAAATACAATTGTAAGTAATTGACTAATCAGAAGTTATTCTATATGTTATGCTCTCGAACTAATGTCTGGAAATACATTAATTGAATAGATTTATTATATTAAAATAGATAAAAATTTGAAATTCTATTTTTTATAGTCTAGCACAGTAGAAAAAAAAATAATAAATAATGTTTACTAAAAAAACTATAAGGTTAGAAAATACATATTAGTGAATTAAGCATTTTTTTATGATTATGTCACATGATTATCATGACAATCATTAACAAAATCATTATAAATTAATCAGTAAACTTTTACTTTAATTATCTTTGCTTCTAGTAATTCAAATCAAATAATTTTTTTTTGTTTGAAAGCATTTTATCTTCTCTACAAAATAAAAAAAAAATTATAATAAATCTGCTACTAGTTGCTAAGATAATTAAAATATATGATAACTAATAAAATTTGATATATTGTAATAGATTATTTAAATTATCTCTGCAATTAGTAATTAAATTTTAATTTTTTTTTATTTTATAAAGCAAGTATATATCTATTAAATAAATAAAAAAATATTTAATTTAGACTAATAATCATTGAGAAAATTAGGTTTAAAATTTAGATTATAAACTTTTTGTTTTTTTTATTAATTTTTTAATTAATTTACTAATTAAAATTGTATCAAATTTATAGCAAAATATTATTAAAGTTAAACTAATAGTTATTGAAATATTTATATAGAAACACAAATCTTTATATTATTTATCAAAACTCTAAAAGTAAAGTTAAATAACTTGCTAATTATGCAAGTATGTAATCTAAAAATAATATGACATAATTATCAAGAAATAAGAATTAATATAGACTAATCAAGAATATAAGTTAATTAGCAAGTTTTGGAGTTATAAGCCAAGTCCTTAAGTGTGAAAATATTTTTGTTACACTTCTGTATAAATAATAGATTTAAATTTATTAGTAATTTTAAAAACAAATACTTAAATATAGAAAAATACAAAAACTTACTAGAAAGCAATAACATAAAGTAATCAAAGAACACTCTCCTCTGTAGATCCCTTGACCAAAAATTAGTGAGAAGAAAAATGTAGAAAATATTGCAAAACACACTAAGAAGCAACACTGAGACCCTTAGTAAAAAAGAAAGAGCTACAAAAGTTACACCTAGCTAAAAAACAAAATACAAATAAAAAAGCTTAAAAGTAGCAGAGCTTGGAAAAATAAAAAGTTTTTCTGACGAAAACAAAAATTTTTTGTAAATTTGAGAGAATCCTTGTGATTTTGTTATGAAAATCAATTAGGTTATACAGAAAATACAACAAAACAACTAAGATAAACAAACAAGCATATATATAAAAATAGTCTATCAGAGCAAGCACATGATATAGAAACAGCTATATTAAACCAACTGATAAATAAAATGACAACAATTAGTATAGAAAGAAATACATATGAAGTAAGACCTAGGAGTCTATTAAAAAAGGTGTTAGAAAGATCAATAACACAAAGCTTGCAAAGAGTTGACAACGCAGAACTAGTCAAAATACTAGAAATAACAGATGTCATAGAAACAAGAATAAACAAATATACAGCATTACTGTTCACAGCAGATGTAGCAGATATAGCAGCAATAAGAGCATTAAGTGAAGCTATCACATGGGTAGACAAAAGAAGTAAATTAATAGATTTCAGCTTTAAAATGAAGAATGGCTCACAACAGCAAAGAAAAAGGAAAACAAAAAACACAATCTAGACAGAAGAAATAGTTAAAACAAAAGAAAATGAAGAAAGAGAAAAATATGAAGAAGAATTCAAAAAATACGAAACAGGTAAGGAACAAATAGTAATAGATAAAAAACAAAGATGTACAGTGCAGAAACAAGATGTAAAAGAAGTAAAAAGAGACAAAAAAACTTCATGGCACATTTCAAGCCTAGTAGAAGCAGAAGAAAAGAAGAAAAACAAAAAAGAAAAATTAACGATACTGCAAGGAAATGCAACAGAAGTACCATTAGAGCAAAGCATCTGAGCATCAGACAATAGACTATGCAATAATGAAACACCAGTAATAGCAAGAATTCCTGCCTATAATGTTCTAGATGGAACAAAGCCAAAAAGAACAAGCATGATAAAATAGATGCTTAATGCAAATAGACATATCACAAAAATTAAAGAAGTCTTTGTAAAAGGCAATAGTTGGATTGAAGTATCATTTGATTGCAAAAGAAGAAGAGAAGAAGCAATTAATCGAATAAAGTGAAAAGGTAAAAGGTGGTTTAATTTGATTTCAGTTGAAACACAAAACCAAGTAGAGAGTAAGAAAGATCAAGATGAAGCAATGAATGAGTGCAAAGTAAAGAATAAACAACAAAAAGAAAAATTTAAAGACCCAAAATGGAAAGAGCCCAAACAAAGAAAGACACAACAAAGCAAAATAGAAAAGCAAGATGAAGCTAAAACAAAAGCAGAAAGATGGCAAACAGAAAGACTAGAAGAAACAGAAACAACAAAATTCTTAACAATTTGGAACTTACCATTAGACATTAATAAAAAAGAACAAAAATATATATGCAGAAGTATAAGAATATGCATATAATACGAATTAAAAGATCACAATACAAAGCACTAGCAGTTATAGCAACAAATTATGAGAAAGAAAAAGACAACATATAGGTATTACCTCTTGGCAACAATAAATTAGCAAGAGTAATGAAAGGAAATAAAGACTATATACAAAGAGAGAAACAAAGTTAGTTTATAGCAAAATTACTAAACATTTCTAAAGGTATATCAGAAGTGCTTTTATTAAGATGTCTAAGAAATAAGGAAGCAAAGGCAGTATACATACCATTTAACAGAAATAGGAACCAAAAAAAAATTTGCAATAATCATTTTTACAAATGTATAAGAAGCAGAGACAGCTTAAACAACACCAATATAATACAACAACTATCGAGTAAGTTGAGAAAATTCTAAAAGAAGGAAACCCTATGAGAGAGAAAAGTCAAGAGGCAGAAGACAAGAAAAATCAAGATCAAGCAATGAGAAGCAGCCAAAATACAAAAAACAAGAAGCATTGAGAGTCAGAGGCACAAAACATGAAACACCAATCAAGAGATATGGAGAAATGGATAGCAACTCTCAGTTACAAGATATAGAAGCATAGTTAGGAGATAAAAACACAGACATAAAAGAAGAAGTAGCAACAACAAAGAAGAAGAAAGCCAAAACAAATATACTAAATCAAGAAAGAACATTATTAGTAGAAAATGTCTTATGTTAAATATTAGAAAGACTAGATAAAATAGAAAAGATACAGCTGAGAGTAAGGAGAGATCTAGCAGATTGCTTCTAAGAGTGCCTTAGTTGAGTTTAGAAATACAGATGAGGAGATTGAAACTTTTTTACAAGAAGAAAAAAAAATGTTTGAAGAAAAAGAACAAAAAACATCATCTTATCTAAAGAAAAGAAAGGTGATCAAAAAGACTAACAATACAGAAGCAAAACAAAAACAACTAAAAGAAAAATAAAAAGAAGGAAGAAAAGAAATTAAAATAGCATGTCATAATATCAATGGCTTGAAGACCAAAGGTTGAAAACTTGAAAACTTATTGGACTGGACAAAAGAAAAAGAAATTGCAATATTGGAAATCACAGAAATGAACATTATTGAAAAAGAAAGAAGATTTTTAACATATGAAGCAAACAAAAAGTATATAGAATATTGGACAAATGCAGCAGAAGATAAGAAAAAAGGATCAAGGGTAGGAATTCTAATAGAAGAACAATGAGAAAAATATATAAGTGCTGTCAAAAGAATAAATGAATATATGATAGAGATTACATTATACTTCAAGCAATTGAAGTTAGTAATAATAGGAATTTACATACTGCCAAGCAACAAGATGATAGGGAGAACCATCCAGTAAAAGATTATAGAAAGGGTTACCAAACAGAAAAGACAAACACAATTTGTAATTATAGGTGACTTTAATCACACAGTGGACAATGTAATAAACAGACAACACTTACAATCAGCAAATTTTAAAAGACTACTGATCTTTAATTGGATAAGAAAGCAAAGCTTTATAGATATATATAGGAATATGCATCCAACAAGGCAAGAGTATATGTGGTCAAACAAGGAAGCTGCAACAAGAATTGACTACATTTGGGTGTCAGAAGAACTGGCTTTGGGTTTGCAAAAGGCAAATATTGAGGAAACAGAAAAAATTACAGAAAGTGATCATAAAATAATAACTGCAGAAATATGGATCGAAC